TAAATTTTTAATTTATTTTAAAGGGAGAGGATTATATTTTCTACACACACAGGCTTTGGGATCTGAAGAATGGCGATAGTTCATTTGCAGGTGGGGGAACACCTTTTCCAGCCCCATATGCTTATTTGAAGTCTATGGGAAGCGTATGGGCTCTGTTGCTTAGCAACCACCCTCCCTCTTCTCAGAGTAGCAGGAGAATGCTCTGCGCATGCATGTGCAGCAATAATCTAGTTTTCAGACCACAGAAGGCCTTGTTGTGATACAGTCAGCCAGATCATATACAGAGATATTTTGCAGATGATCAATCCATTTCAACTCAGTGCAGGCAAAGTCTGAACCAACTCCTTTTAATGCTGTGTCTCTGAGCTGAAACCATCTGAGATCATTATATCATGTTTGCTGGGAAAATTAAGGGAATATTACCTAGGCTGTGAGTTCCTAGTCCAAGTTTTTATGGACAAGTCTGTGGCAAACTGTGTAAAATTATGCTGAAGCACCTAGAATGTTTTCTTGGAACAGAGTGAAATGTGAAAAAACATATAGCTACAAAAATTAAGAGTCATTACTGTTCCATTGGACTGAAATGAAAGGTAGTCACTTAACAGGTTAAGAAACACACAGGGTTCACATGATGGTTTTTCCCTCTGGCCACTTGTCAGAAGTGTAATGAAACAGCGGTGAGTTAGTTATGTATCGTTGTGTTTGTGCTACCTACATGGGTGTATGCTAATCATCCAGTGCTGATGAGTGTAAGATGTACACTAGATGGTGCTTGCACAACACAGGGAGCAAAAAGTGTGTCTGTCTCAAGATGTGTCAGCAACTCAGTGCTCCACCCCCTCCTCGAGTATTTTCTGTGATGCACACTCTGTTCCATTAAGTGGAGTCATATAATTAAATATAGAAGGTTCATGAGTGATGTAAAACAAATGCTTATTTGCTGTTTCACTGACCAATGCAATAAAGACATAAATTCATTCATTTACATATCTGTATATGTTTACACATGCTTATGTATATACACAGTTTTGGCAGCTCTAAGTTTCTAAAGACAGAGAGCTGGCATTGTGAAACCTTTTCTACATTGCTTTAAAGAGCTATACATGCACAGAACTGCAATGAAAGGAAGGGGGGTTTACTGTTTGTACAGCACCCAGCACCATTCATGTCTTAACTAGTGTCTAAAATCTAGCATGAACTACCAGGAATTTTGAAAAAAAAAAAAAAAAAAAAAAAAAAAGACATGTATATTCCTCATTCATCAGCACTGTCACAGTAAAGTAAAAGAAAATCAAATACGAAACCCAGAATACTGAAGGAAATTGCCTCTGTCCACTATACAAAGATATATAAATTGTGTAAAACCTTTTTAAAGATCCTTGGGACATCTAAGAAACTAAAGGGAAGAAAGCCGGAGTCAATCATTGTTTTATTTCCACGTGCTCCATAAATTTGTATATATGAACAAAGTTTTCTTTGATTTCATTCAAAATATGAAAATAAAAATCTTAAAAAAAATATTGACAATGATTCAAGTGTCAACATAATACATAAGCTCATCATACCCCCGCTTAAATAAGGTAAACACGCTACCAAGATATAACATATATTGATTCTCAGCCCATTGTTTTTAAAGTCCAGACACAGTAACACCCAGTTAAACATATTTAACTCTAAATTTGTTTAAGGATCTCGTTTATTTCAGTCATGTCTGGAGGCTCTTATATTTGGAAAGTGGTTTAAAATCAAATGTAATTACTTTCAATGGATGCACATTTTGAGCAAGGCTGGATTTTTGGACTGAGAAAGGGAAGTGGATAGCAGGTCTGGGGGAAGGAGGACTGCCAGAAAGAAGGGAGAAGTTGAGCCAGATTTGCTTGGATTTGTGTCAGCACATGAACCCAAACATCTCAAATCAAACTGTGCTGCCAAAACACAAACAAAAGCTACATGACAGTTTCTGCAGTCTTCTGCTGCCTGAGTTCACTGTAGTCTAGGTGTTTGTAAGAGTAGCAGTTGTGCTAAGCTATTCTCTGTGTTTTATTAAATGGGATGAGATATAATGAAGTTTGGAGTAGTGGATGTGGTTGTTCCTGAAAGAGTTTATGCAGGTATATAACAACGCCAAGTTACTGAAGGTGTAACAGAAGCAGACAAGCATAAACAATATTAACCAATAGGTTCCAAATCTTCAGGATAAGCCAGGCACTTTATTCAGCTGTGGTTGACACTAGCTTGCCATGAGTCTGTGGCTTTCCTGTTTTCAGTTTTTTTAAAATCCAAGGATCTTCACTGACTTCCCTGTGAAGCAAAAACATACTTTAAAGTGGGCCAAGACATAGTGTCCCATTGTAGAGCAGGGTCATGCCAGACCATGTCTGCATCTGGATTTTGTTATTTAGAAGAGCAACAACACCTGTTTCTCATTTATGTAGCAGAATTAGCAGTTGGGCTCCAAACTTGGCTGCTATGATTTCTTCTGAGTCCAGGAGAAGTCAGATGCCAGGTGCTGGCTTTTGTAGCTCTGTTGTACAAGGATTTAACTTGGGTTATTATGTGCTGTAGCAATTCCAGTTACAGCACCCATGCTTTCTTGTCCTGTTTCCCCCTATTCCTCCTGTCTGCCAGCCTCGCCCTACCTCCCCACTATATTCTCAGACCGGAATCTGGTAAATCTAAATCTGGTAAAATTCAGAAATACCTAGGTAGATTCAGCACTTTCCTAGAACTGCAAGGAAGGTCACAAGGATTTCCAAAGTGTGAGCTGAGTGTTTATTTGGGGGTGGATGGTGGGAAGAAGCAGTGAGAAGGGACAGGGAGAAGGCACATCAGGAGTTTTCATGACTCAAATCTAGTAAGTGTATCATATCAGTCATAGGAAAAAAGTGTGCCTTGCAGCTGGAGCCAAGGTGTCTGGACCATTTGAGTTGGCATTTCCTTCATGTTGTTGTAGCCTGCCCAGTTGATAGATAAGCAAATAAATAAATCTTACCCCTGCAAAACAGACACAGCCGTGTATTACACAAGGTACACTGAATCACACACATTAGCATTTCGCTGTCTGTGTCCGATGGAGGGTGGGAGATCATATCCTGCAGCAGGGCAGTTAAAATAATCGATGAGTGCGTGTTCAATCCCCAGAAAGAAGATGGGGGGGGGG